CCCTCCCGCCGGAGTGGACACTACTAAGGACTCATCTAATCTCTCCGATCGTTTACCCAACCTCTCGGCTAAGAATAGGGATATAAATGAGTGAGTAGCCCCGTGTCAAATAATACCCGTGCATCAAAAGAATTAATAGGAAGTATACCCGACACTACCGCATTAGAGCTCGTGCATCTTGTCTAGTCAAGGCATACACCCTAGCTTGTCCACGCCCCGCAAAACCTCGATCTCTTGCCCCTACACCCCGACCTCTACCGGTCCGCAACCGACCTCTACCTATCCGAGACTTACCTCTACCACCAAAACCTCTACCTCCTAAACCTCGTCCACTAGCCCCATCAATCCGATCGACAAGCATAACTCGATCGGATGAAGTAGGTGCACGTCCCCGTGACAAAAAGGATGGACATTCTCTAGCAAAATGACCCTCTCGCCCACAACGATAACATCCAACTCGTCCAACCCTACACCGGCCTCAATGCATCCCGTTACAAGTTGGACAATGAGAAGGAGTGCGAGCATTTTGCCCGGACTCAAGGAGGAATGCGAGTATTCCGGCTCGCCCGAGTTAAGCCCCGTCTGCCGTAGCTCATAGATCCCCGACTCCTACCCACGGACGTTCCGAGCCTTTGGTGGTATCCCCTCCGTAAGCCCCCGGTAGTCCATTTGACCCCGATGGCCCGAACCCCTACTAAATCCACCAAGTCCACTACTTCGACCCCGATGACCACTGGATCGCCCCTCACCTCTACTCCTTTTAGGTCGAGGGCTCCGTTCTTCTAGGCGATCCACCCGAGATAACTCTATTAATCGGGCACACTCTACGACCTCTCGCATAAGTGTTCACCCTTGCAAGAATCAAAAGTGCACGAAGTCGTGGCACTAAACCACCTATAAATCGAGACATCTTTAGCTCCTCCGTGCCGACTAGGTAAGGAGCATATCGGCTCAACTCCATAAATTGTGCATCATATTCGGTAACGATCATGGAAGCATCCTGTCTCAATCTCTCAAACTCAAATGCCCGCCGTCGCCTAACACTCTCGGCGTAAATCTATCCATGAAAGCCTTACCGAAATCCTCCCAAATCCAATTGGAAAATCCCTCGGTCTTAAACCAACGTTTGGTTGTCCCGATCAAACGAACTCTACTATCCGCACCGCCTTCCGAGAATCATAACCCAATGCCTTACACCTCGCATCTATCTCCTCTAAAAATAAATGAGGATCCTCATCGAGTTTTCCTTCAAACCCCGACGGCTTAAGTTTCAAGAACTCGGATAATGGCACTCCATCCTCATTAGCATGTGAAGAGGATGGTGCCATCCCCGCTTGTGCATATAGCCTCTTATGCCGTGTAACAATCCGCGTTAATAAGTTCAAGTTTTGGGCAACATCCCGTGCCCCTATAGTGGCCGCAGACCCGCTCACTCTTTCCTCCTCCGCCTCTCTCGGTCTATCATAAAATCTCATCTACTACGCTTGCTACCCCATGTAACATGTGGGGTAGCTAGGCTGTGTGCCGTACGTGGGACTCGGCACCCCTACCACGACCTACATTGTGGGTCTTTCCACCCCCGCTACCTCTACCGCCCCTAGTCCTCACCATCTAAGTAACAAAAGAGTTCTAATCAATATCATTTTATAACAAATTCACAGTATACTTGACTCGATATAATAAGAAGCGTTACGCGTAAACTAAGATTCAACGAATAACTCAAAGACAATTTGAAAACCTATAACTACCTATAGCTCCGCGATGCAAAACCAAAGGCTTATCCTATAAATTACTAACTAGTTCAACCTTAAAACATATCTACCAAGCCTAAACCATTGCTTCGATACCAACTTTGTCACGACCCGAACCGGCGAGCCGCGATTAACACGTAGCCCGAGGTGGAGTGACCCACCATGAGCTACGTAAGCCTTAATCCTTTCTCTATTTCCTACGGAAATTTCGACAGCATTTCCCCTATAATTGAACGATCCCAAAAATAATTTATCCTACATAAAAATCACCATAGATGTACACTTCCAAATCATCTTCACCAATTCTCAATCATCCTCAAGTCCCTCCATTGGACATCCACACCTTCTCATAAATCTCAGTATTTACTAAATTGACAAAAATACACATAATCTAATATTTAACATAACCAAATTTTATAAATCACCATTTAACCATCCAAATACAAAATATGGAGACCCTTAACTAGCTATCCCCGGATTTGGTGATGCTACCAACGAAGCAACTAAGTGAAATAAAATACACAATGACTAATTACAATTCCAAAATGGACAATGAATACAAATTTAAAACAACCATGTCCTATACCCGGAGGAAGCAAAATAATATCCGGGTAGTACCTTCAAATCCGGAAAATCTATCGTCCTCCTTCTATGATCTAGCTTCCGTATTATCTACAAAATATTTGAGGTTGGGGGTGAGTTTTCAAAACTCGATAAGCATAACACATATTATAAATCGTTATACATACAATTATGCCAATGCACATATCATACATGATTTGCCACCAAGCGAGCAATCAATAACTTTTTCTTTTTCTTTCTTTCGTAACAATTAATAATAGCATAACAATTTCTTGAAATCACTCTATGCAGAATCGTCTATTCTTTTGGCCCTCAAAAGGGTAATTATGGCCCTCGCAAGGGTAACTGTAAACTCTAGCCCCCGCAGGGTAAACTCGAGGGAAGCACTCGCGGCCATTCCCTAGCCGACAATACTAGGTGCACCTAGGCTAACTATAACCCCGTTAGCTTAGTTAGTCCCGCATAGACTTCTTTCAAGTCATCAATCTCATTATTATCATTCAACACATAGCAATCACACAATTCCATTTAATGCAAGCGATCATCATATCAACATGCACATATATCATTCAATGTATCAATATTCCTTTAATAACTATAATTCATACGGCAACATACCAATTCAATTCATCTATACTAAAATAATTCAATTCACATGCAATTATTATTATTATTATTTGTTTTAATAATTAAGCATTTATCCAAACAATCAATTTTTCACCTTACAAGCAATATAGACATATATGATAGTAAAGACTCATAATAGGTGTTATACTTACCTCTAATCTAGAGGAACACCCCAAATTATAATTGTCTCTTCCTTAAGCAGCTTCTTCCACCAAATCCTCTCTTACCTCTATCATCATAAATTTGCATTCATCAATAATAACAATAATTAGACACTAATAAATTGAAATTCAAGCTTAATTGGGTCCTAATTAACCCATTCACTCATTTTTCCTAAATTTTCCTAAGCTAACATAAACCCTAATTTTAATTAAACCTAATCCCTAATTCAAATTCTTAATTCAAGATGAAATTTACTAAATTACCTATAACCCATCCTAATTAAGGTTATAATTAAGGTTATAATTAACTAAAACATTCAAAAAAATCCAAAAACTCACTTAATAAATCTTTTTCCTTCTTCCTTATTTCACCTTTTTTTACCCTCATTTTTCTTCTCCTTACCCGAGTCACTCCACCACCGCCGTCGTCGGAGTGGGTAGTCGCCGGCGAGTCTTCTTCTTCCTCTCCTTCCTTCTCCTCTCTTTCCTTCTTCTTTTTCTTTCTTTCCTCCCCTTTCCCGTTTTTTTTTTCTTTTCTGGTTCCTGCCACTCTTCCCTTTGTTTCTTTATTTTCTTTGCCTTTAAATTACCCTAATACCCCTCATTTAAAAACACCTCTCTTATTTACTTACATGGGTTTATGGGTATTATACAAATGAAATAGATGGAGATGGTGACTCGCTTAACGATAGGACAATTGCATTTTAGGGTTGTTTGTGGTGGATTATTTTGGCTAGGTAGTTACAACGACGAGGTGAGGGTTTCGGTGCTAGAGGTCAATGACGAAGGAATGAGGATCAACGAGTAGGTGGTTCGACTAGATGTCGGGGACAGGAGGTGGTGGTTCGGCTTGAGAAAGAAAAAGCAAGGAAAAAAATGGAGAAAGAAACGAAAAGGTTAGAGTTTTTTTAATTAGGTTTGGGGATCTTTTTCTTTAATTGGATTAGAAAGAAAATGATTGACATGTAGTTCATTAATAGATAGTTAATAGGCCATGCGAAATCTTATGTGGTGCGCCACTTCAGTTTTGATTGAAATTTAAGCCAAAAAATTCATCTGTTTTAATATGGTTACAATTACAAGCTAATATGATTAAAAAGTATAACGTTTGTAATTTTCTGATACATTAAAAAAAGAAAGGAAAAAAAAAAAAAAAGCCTACTAGCCATTTACCTTATACATTATGCAGACACTTGATGACCAAACATCAGCAGCAGATCAGGAAGGCAGACTAACACCAGAAAAAAAATCCACCTAAAGTACTCAAGCAATGATTCATTCACAAAACTGCAAAATTCTGATTTCCAACACAAGCTACACGATGAAATCAGTTTGCTTATGAATACCAACCTAAAGAAAAAGCAAAGCTCCAAGTGGTAATATGGCAACAGCTACACCATATGAGTACAGCAATCTACAACAGGAGTTCATGCTCATTGCATCAGCATCGTAGAAAGATGACATCAGCACCATATCCAGAAAAGAGAAGCAGGCGAAATCAACAACAAAACTTGGGAAGTACGGTCAAGCATGGTGCAGCATCACGGCATTGAAGTATGATCAGCCAACGGCAATGGCTCAGTTCAGATGCGAAACATGGAGCAACCAGTTCTTGGTAGCAAGAAGTGGAAGCACAATCAGAGCAGGGTTATAGCCAAGCAATGAAATCCATTTGATGCATAAATCCATGTTTAGCCGAGCAATCAGCAAAACCATTTGCCTCCCTGAGAGTATGAGTAAACCGATCATGGGTAAATGTGCTCAAGAGAGAGTATTGACGAGAAATCATTCGCCATTTTTCATGGTTGCCAGCAGCTCGACCCATGCCAAGACACCACAATGGCAGAGTCAGTTTCAACAATCAGATTCTGGAAAGCATTCAATCTCTCCATACCCTATGTTGTATCCTTTTGATCAAGTACTCCTCCAAACCAACACCAGCCTCCACTATTCTAGTGTCACCCTTTAATTCTACCTTCATAACTTTATCCAAAGTTTCCCCTATTCTCTGCAAATTATCCACTTCACAAATCCTAGAAACCATCATCACCCAAGTCTCTGTACGTGGAGCTTCTCCATGCCTTAGCAATTCCTCCACGACACCACAAGCTTCCTCAATCTTACCAACATTGCAAAAACCCTTTATCAAAGCATTCGAAACAGAAAAATGAGGTGAAAAACCCTTCGATATCATTTTCTCCAGGTAACTCTTTGCCTCATCGAGCATCCCTTGATCACATAACCCACCAACCAAAGTCCTATAAGACACCAAATTTGGCAAGCACCCATTAGACTCCATATCCTCAAGAACCTTACAAGCATCCATCGCACGCCCCTCTCTACAAAACCCCAATATAACCGTATTAAAATGAATAATATCAGGATTGCATCCTTTAACCTTCATCCTACAAAGAAGCTTATAAGCCTCTCTAAGCTTCTTCTTCCTACACAAACTATTCAATACAGTAGTATAACTCAACGCATCTGGCACAAACCCTTTATTCAACATATCCTCCAACAAATCAACTGCTCCATTTACTTGACTTTTCCTACACAAAGCCTGCATCAAAATCCTATAAGACTCAACATCCGGCATAACATCCCTCTTAAACATTTGATTGAACAATGAGTATGCAATACTGAGCTGGCCATTTAAGCAAAAAGCACGCATCAAAATGTTGTAAGATTTAGTATTGGGAAAAACACCATATCTTTGTGCATCCTTGAAAAGATCGAAAGCGGGTCTAACATAGTTCCGGTGAGAAACAAGAATTTCAAGAATGCCATTTAAATGTTTGGGCAAAGGCTCGCAATCAAACTTGAGTATAGTGTAGAATATTTTGAGAGCTTTATCGGGTAGATTTGCTTCTCCGTAGATTTTGATGATGTAAGAGAAAAGAGTTGGGGTTACTGGGTAACGTTTGGATTTGAGGTCGATGAGAAGTTCATCAATGAAAGAGAAGTATTTGGCACGACCGAGTTTGAGAATGAGAATGAGATAGGATGAGTAAGAGTGTTGGAAATTGGGTTGGCGAGAGGCATAGTCGAAGATTTCTTTCGCTAAGAGAGGATCTGACTGGGAAGCTATGAGTTTTTGGACTCGAGATGATGACCCAATTGGGGATTTGGTGTTGGCAGTTGGAAGAGAATTGGAAGGTTCTTGTTCTCGTTTGTGTTGTTGATGACGGTGAGGTAACGAGGAGTAAAAGAAGAGTGATAGAGGTTTTTGAAGGACTGATACAGTTCGAGGACTCGTAAATAAATTTTCGAAGGTAGAAAAGAATGGTTTGTGCATGTTGAAAAGCACTGAATCAACAGATTCATAACCATTAAACAAGGACTCTGGAGTCATCGACAGAAGCCATTCTAATCGAACCTCTTTTTTTTTTTTCTTTTTTTTTTTTTTTTTTTGTAGAAATATGGAATCGAACTTATTAGGCAATGAAATTGTGTGAATTTTGTACGAGTCGAGAACAAAGTTGGGGGGAAAATCACGAGTTAAAGATACAGTGTGAGGGTGTTTTGGTTTTGGTGGGATGCGAAGACTGAAGAGTAAACGGAGAGAGAGAGAGTCTTTAAGAATTGGAAAATGAGAAAAGGGGTGGAGAAGGAAAAGGAGAATCACAACAAGACAATAAGCCTAATAAATGAATGGGCTAGTAGCCCGGGAAGACTCAGTTACAGGCCCAGTGAACCCAAGAGATAAGGAATCTTTTATTATTATTATTGTTGTTGTTGCTGTTATTATTATGATTATCACCACTATTTTTTGTTCTTTCTTTTTCCCCGAAAGAAAGAGAGATAGGAAGTTACGAATCCCTTGTAAGAAAAGAAACAGGAATCAGGGACTGGATGTCCATGTCGATGCTTTGTAATTTTTATTGATGGATGGAAAGCAGAGCCAATTTCCCGTTCGTTTTTTATGCACTAGATAGAATTTACCTTACCCTTTCTTGTTTTATTATTGTAAAGAGGAGAAGTCAATTATTAAAGATAGCTCGATCAATTAATTTGTTAGTTTAAACAAACAATTAACTAACTGTTATTTATATTAGTTAGATAATTAAATTAGTCGAGTTTAGTTAGTTTAAAATGTTAATATATAAAGAGTACGAGATATTGTTTCTATAATCCTTATAGTGAAAAAGAGAAAAACAAAATTTTCATCATTCTTTCCTCTTTTTTGTTTCTTTGAAATTCTTTACAGTTCTTCTCTCCTCTCTCTTTTTCATTCTTTTAAAATGGTATTAGAGCAATCGATCCTCTAGGATTTTATGAACTGTTGTAGTTCATCATTTTCTTTAATTGAATCAATTTGATTCATCAATCAATTGATTCCGTCAATCAATTGTATTAGGTTTCTTCTTTCTTCTTCATTGAATTTCAATAATGCATTCATTCATGGCGACAAGAATAGTTGATTATGTAATTTCTCCAATGGAAGATCATTTTTCGCCATTTTAATAGTATTATTCGATCATCATGGATTAGTTGTGATTTCACTTGAACTCACATCAAGCAACTATATAAATTGGAGTATATCATTTCGCTTGCACTTTACGTCGGAAATAAGACTGGATTTGTGGATGGTTCGATTAAGTAACTAAAAGTTACCGATCCTCCGTATAATGCCTAGGTAAGATGTAATAATCTCATGGTTACTTAGTTATTGAGATCAATTTCACCGGTTATTGCATCTATAGTCTTCCGCATTGATTCACCAACTAAGATATGGATACCTTTGAAGAAAAGATTTTCACGACTCGATGATGCAAGAATTTGTAATTTGCGGATGTCTTTGTGCAATATTTCTCAGGAAATAGGTCCGTAAATGATATTTTAAATGATTGAATGGTATTTGGAAGGAATTAAGAAACCATAGACCATTACCTTATTGTTTTTGTGGAGGATGCAAAGAAAAGTGTTTTTAGAAGTTTGTTGATATGCAAAAGAAAGATCATGTATCCAAGTTCATAAATGGACTAAATGAATCCTACGACTTCGCTCGAATCTCAAATCCCGGTTATGAAACCTTTACCAATTCCAAATGAAGTGCATAGTCTAGTTTTAAGAGAAGAGAATCAAAGATTTATGCACACTATATGTTAACTCTGCCATAGAAAATATGGTTATGGTAGTTGTGATTAATACAAAGAAGAAGTCAAAACTGACATGGTGTGTGAGTATTATGGGAAAATTGGGCATACTAAGGATAAATGCTATAAGTTGATTGGTTTTCTAGCAAATTTCAAGTTTAACATAAACAAATTCATAAATTCTTCCCTTACATCTACTCCTCGGCGTATAGTCAACAATGTGATTGGATTAATGGAGTACGAAAAGAGCATTGGTGATACACGGATCTCCTCGACTAGATATCAATATCGAAACTTATGATTCCTCCTAATGAGAAAAATTCATCATTTTTAACTCAAAATTCATCAACCTCAACTTCCATACTTGTCGGTTCTCATTCGAGCTTCCAATGTTACGAGTAACGGTGTCTCTACTCCAATCTATTCCTCAAACACATATAACTTTCTTATCAAAATTTTTTTCTCAAACACTCATGCATATAAACATATCTAGATCGTGGATACTAATGCTACGGATCATATTGCTTCTTCCTTTGATTTTTTTGACTCTTACTATAATGTTAATAATATGTTTGTGCAATTACCAAATGAAAACGAGCTATTGTTACACATATTGGTAATGTCATAGTATTTCCAAAATTGATTCTATCAAATGTCCTATTTGTTCCCGATTTTAGATATAATCTTTTGTTAGTAAGCAAACTCATTATATCTAAACACCGTAGACCGATTTTTATTGAAAATACTTATCTTATTTAGGACCTTCATTCCTGGATAATGACTAGACTTGCTAAGCTCAATTTAGGCTTGTTTTTGCTACGATCTAAAGTATATGATCAGTCTTCAATATCCACTTGTCCGTTCATTTATAACATAGTTTTCCATCAATAATCTTACCTGACAAATCCTTTGATTTGTGGCATTTTAGATTAGGGCATACTTCAATTAACAAAGTTAAAACTTTACGAGTAGTGTCATTCTCAAATACTTTGTAATTCATCTTTTCCTTGTACTTGTTTGTCATCGAGCTAAGCAGATTACCACTTTCAATACATATTAGAAATGTTGTCAAACCCTTTGAACTTATTTATATGGATATTTAGGGTCCATATTCAATTCTCGCCATACATGATTTTTTATATTTCCTTACCATTATAGATGATTTCATGAGAAATACTTAGGTACTTTTAATGAGAACTAAAGCTGATGTTTCTCATATTATACTCGTCTTTTATAATCTAATAAAAATCCAATTTAATTTTAATATTCTTCAATTTAGATCCGATAATGATGAAGAATTCAATCTTACTACTTTTATCAATCTCGGGGTATTGTGCATCAAAAATCCTATGTTGAAACACCACAAAAAAATTTTGTGGTAGAAAGAAAACATCAACATCTTCTTATTGTGGCTAGATCTCTTCTTTTTCAAGCATCTCTCCTTATCAAATTCTAGGAAAATTTGATTTCGATCGCCATATATATAATCAATAGCCTTTCTAGTTCTATCGTATAAAATATATCACCACATGAGTTTCTTTTCAATAAATCTCCAACTTATGATCATTTCGAGTGTTTGAATCCTCGTGTTTTGCTTGTACTCTTTTTCATAATAGAAAGAAATTTGATTTATGAGCTAGACAATGTATCTTCATTAGTTATCCTATTGGAATCAAATGATACAAACTTTATGATCTTTAAGATCATTCTACCTTTATTTCTAGAGGTATAGTATTTCATGAACATGTTTTTCCTTTTTCTATAAAGTCTTTAAACCACAATTCCACTCGCTAATTCTCAATCGAATCAATTTTCTTCTTTGATTTTTCTATGTAAAATATCTTTGATCATTCTAATAATGATGTTTTTCCTATACCATCCTCTCTACATAGTCAAAATTTAATCCTTCATTTATTCAATCCGATAATGATAATGTTAAGTTTAATATCATTACCGATAAGATTGATAATCAATCTAATATTATTTTTTATTCGTTAAAACTACACATACGGTTACATCTATTCCTACTCCTATTGTACTAGATACCGATCGGTCTTTTTTATCATTGAGGAAAATTTCTAGAACTTCCATATTACCTACTTATCTTAAAGATTATGAACATAACCTTGGTCATTTGGTGTCTTTTACATGTCGAACTCTATATCCTTTACATCATTATGTTTCTAATGTTCATTTGTCCACATCTCATAAGACATTTAATAATTCTTTATCTTTCTTCTATGAACCTCAAACTTACCATCAAGCTATGAAGTTTGCTCGTTAGAGAGAAGCCATGCAATCTGAAATTGATGCTTTAAAGAAGAATTATACATGAGAAGTAGTGTTTTTATCGATTAGATAACATTCAATTGGTTGTAAATGGGTGTATAGAGTGAAATTGAGAATGGACATATTGAAAGGTATAAAGCTAGGTTACTAGCTAAAAAGTATAATAAAAAAAAAGGTTTTGAATTTTAAGAAACATTTAGCTCCGTGGCTAAACAAACCACTATCGAGTTTTCCTACCCTTAGCATCTATTCATGGCTAGCATCTACTATAACTATATATCGGTAATGATTTTCTTAATGGTGATATACTTGAAATTATATAAATGGATCTGCTTTTGGGTTATAAATTACGAGAGGGAATGTCCATCTAACTCAAAGATGGTTTATAGGTGGCATGAATCTTTATATGGAATGAAGCAAGCTTTTAGACAATGAAATTATAAGTTTACTGATGCTCTCTTAGAGTTTGGTCTTATTCAATTAAGATCTAACTACTCTTCGTTTGTACGAGAGAAAGATGGATCGTTTTATTGCTTTGACTATCTATGTAGATGACATAGTTATAGCTAGCAATTCTATATATGAGGTCGACAAATTGAAATAGTTTATGACTTTCAAGTTTAAGCTAGGAGACTTAAGAAAATTAAAATATTTTCTTAGTATTGAGGTAGCAAGATCAATAAGGGGATATCAATTTGTCAAAAAAAGTATACCATGGATTTGTTAAAGAAGTATGGTTTTGATGGTTCTAAACCAATTTTCACACCTATGGATCGAATCGTAAACTCGTCCAAGTTAGGGAATACTTGAATTAGTAGATTATATTGCATATAAAAACTTAGTTGGAAAGTTGCTTTATCTCACTTTTAATAGACTCGATGTAGCCTATGCAACAATGTGTTATCTCAATTTCTTGATAAGCCTATAAGACAACACATGCAAGCGAGTCCATAGAGTGTTGAGATATCTAAAAAATACTTCGAGTCGGGGTTTGTTATTTCTAGTAGATTTAGAGATACATTTAAAGGCTTACTCGGATAGTGATTGGGCGAGTCAGCTTATATACAAGAAAAACAATGATCTGGATACTCGTATTTTCTTGGGCGATTCGTTAGTTAGTTAAAAATCAAAGAAATAGTCATTGGTGGTCGAAGTTCAACGGAAGAAGAATATAGATCAATGGCTTCTACAACTTGTGAAATTGTTTGGTTACTATCACTCGTTGTCGGATTTTAGACATTCAAGCATTCAACCATCAACTTTATATTGTGATAATATGTCAACTCTACATATATGCAAGAATCTAATGTATCTTAAAAGAATGAAACATGTAAAGACTGATTGTTATTTTGTGAGAGAGAAAGTCTTGGTAGCGAGTAATCAAGCTAGAACATATTTCGACACGAGCACAAATTACGGATATCCTCACCAAAAGTCCGCATCCGAGGCGGTTCCAGCTTCTCTTAAACTAGATGAACATCATCAATATGCTTGTCGTTGCTCATCTCGAGGGGGAATGTAAAGAGGAGAAGTCGGTTATTACGGATAACTCGTATAAGTTAGTTTGTCGGTTTAAACAAACTATTAATAACTATTAGCTATGTTATTTAGATAATTAAATTAGTCGGTTTAGCTAGTTAAAAATGTTAGTATATAAAAAAATATGAGATACTATTTCGTAATCCTTGAGTGAAAAATAAAAAAATAACATTTTCATCATTCTTTCCTCTTATTTGTTTATTTGAAATTCTTTGTGGTTCTCCTCTCTCTCTTTTTCATTCTTCTAAAAATTATGCATGATAATGAATGAGAAATGCCATTAAAAAAAAAACTCCCCTTTTAATTTGAATGAGAAGGTTCAATGAATTACGGGCATACACATTTTCAACATTTCATTTGTGCTTATTTTAATTTCTTGTCAAACTAAGAGGGCACATGCTTTTTCTATCTTTTCATGCTTTTCAATTTTCATCTCATATTAGATTTTTCACGAGTTCGATTTTAGTTTCTCATTTTGATACAAACAATCAAAGACCCAAAACACACAGAGATGCCTAGCTAAACTTGAGAGTGGCGCATGCTTTTGCTAATATGCCATCAATTTCACTCTCGCGTGCTTTTTCTCCCATTGTATAAAGATGTCGGGGTTTCAATTCGATTTATCGTTGAATCTAATTATGTTATTTGATAGAGAGACGCAAATTACCTCGTCACTCCAATGGTCCACACCACACCTTAATCCCATCACGTGCTTTTTATCATGTTGCGTATATATCCATTTTGTATGGTCCTAATTTAATTTGCATGCTAGTTAAAATAATAATAATATGATAATCTAATTTACAAGCCAACAACAATGGTTCATTTTATTCAATGTTTGGGTTTGAATTAGACAACTTCAATCCTAATACACACACATGTATGTATGTATGATAAAGAGATTAAATTAAACCGATGACTAACGACGGATGTGGAAAGGAATAAATGGAGAGATTAAGTTGGAAATTAAGAATTTGATCATTTGGGTTTGAATTAGACAACTTCAATCCTAATACACACACATGTATGTATTTATGATAAAGAGATTAAATTAAACCGATGACTAACGACGGACATGGAAAGGAATAAATGGAGAGATTAAGTTGGAAATTAAGAATTTGATCATTTATTTTAGAAATTAAATCAAGAAAATATTGTGACACAAAGAGTTAGGTTTGAATCAAAGATATGATTATCTTGCTAGAAAATGATTTTATAAGAAAACGTAATCCCATATCTCGCAAATTAATATTACAAAATTTATCATATATTGAATATATTAAAATATTTTATTATCCGGCACTTTTTTAAATTTACAAAAGAAAAAATAAAGAAATCTAATATATTTCTAATAAACTAAAATAAAACTTCATTGAAAACCCGAGGTGAAGGTAATTCATGAGAAATTTTATGTTAATTTATTTAATAGGAGAAAGATGGATACAAGGAGTAAAAAAAAACCTACATAAAATTTTTTTTATTATTTTTTATGAATTTCGACATGATTTTTTATTTATTTATATCTCTTTTTTTAAAAAAATACTATTAATTACTTTAAATATTTTAAAATTTCCTAGTAATTCAGCAGCACATAGCATACGCATCATCAATCAAGAGATATTTAAGTCAAATCGAAATAGAGAGGGCACATGTCGACCGTAGCAGACCCAAAGAATACAATAATTTTTTTTTAAAAAAAAACTCAAAATTAAATTAAATTAAAAGTGGCCGCTAACTTAATTGGTTGAGGGGAATTATTCGGAATTCCACGTGTCAAACTTCACACCATAAAATCTTAAATGGTGGTATCCCAAGGCCAACGTGGCAACCCCTCTCCAAAATATCTTCTCCCAACTATCCCAAAGCTACGCAACACGTGTCCAATTATAGACCCCGCTATAGCAGACAATTAAAGCCACCATCATAAGAGTGCCGTCCCTACAAGGAAAATCAAAAAACAGTGGCCCATATTCTGACACGTCAGCTCAACCAACCAGAAGCCAATGGCGGCCCCCCTTTTGATCGACCCTCAGATCTCCTCAATCAAATAACAAAACCAAAACACATACTCTCGAGTTGTGAAAAAAAAAAAAAAGAAGAAGATAGAGAAAGAGAAAAAACTCCATACTCTAGTCGAGGATATTTTTGAGGTTTTCGCGGCTGTGAGTGAAAGTTGGAAATTAAGAGGCGGCTTTTGCTTTCCTCTTCCCTTCACTAAAATTAATATCAGATATTTCATTTACTATCTCGTTAAGGATGGGGTTAATTTCGTTTTAACACAGTCTCTCCTTTTTCTTTCTTCTACTACCACTACTGTTTTCATTTTGAATTTTCTGCTGAAATTAGGGTTTGTTTGCTGTATTGATTCTTCATTTCAAATTTTGTTCTGTGCAAGAAAGATCGTGTTTGAGAATGGGCGAGGTGGTGGTGAGTAGCAGTAGTGAAGAGGCGGAGGGGATGTTGGTGGAGTTAGAGACAGAGAAGAAGGATATTGGATCATCAGAGGTCGTTCGATGGGAAAAGTTTCTACCAAGGATGGTGCTCAGAGTTCTTTTGGTCGAAGCTGATGATTCTACTCGTCAGATTATTGCTGCCCTTCTCCGAAAATGCAGTTACATAGGTTGTTAATTTCTTCATTTTCACTCCTCGTTGACTTTACCATCATTTTTATTTGTTAGTAATTTTTTTTTCCGTTTTACTTGGATCCAATTCTCATTTCTTTCTTCTTCTTGATCAACTTATTTTTCTCAAGTAGACTATCAATCTCTCATGGCTGAATCTTGATTTGTTTTTGCTGATTTTTATGGTTTATCTTTTCTTGAAAAAAAAATAAAAAAATTGGGTGTTTCACTTTTGTTTTGTCTTTGAAGGAGTTGGAATCCGTGTCTTAATATATCAGTTATACATCTCCGTATCTGGCTTGGTTGAATAAGTCGACATTATGGTTTTTGCTGCTCCTGATGGTAAAATACCTGTCATGCTATGTCACCTGAATGGATTTATATACAGAGTTTCGTTTCTGACCCTTGCTTTCCCTGTTGACTCCCGTTTTCCCGCTTCCTCTGTTTCTGTTACGATGTAATTGGACATTATACTTGATTCGATAGTATTATTGGAAATAAAAACAAGTCAGAAGCATGACATTTTCGATTTTTGGTATCATAGTCTTCGACTGAAGATGTATGCTTTCTTTTCTTCTCTGTTTGAGCAGTTGCGGCTGTTCCTGATGGATTAATGGCATGGGAGACTTTGAAGGGTGGACCGCATAACATAGATCTCATATTAACTGAAGTGGAGTTACCATTAATATCGGGATATGCGCTTCTTGCTTTGGTCATGGAGCATGAAATTTGCAAACACATTCCTGTCATAAGTATGTCAAAATCATTTTTGTTGACTTTACTACCTTGATGTTTTGTTAACGTGGTGCTTAACATGTTAGGATTTTTTTGCATCATATACCTACAGTGATGTCTTCACACGATTCAATTAGTATGGTTCTGAAGTGCATGTTAAAAGGAGCAGCTGACTTTCTCATTAAGCCTATCAGGAAGAATGAATTGAGGAACTTGTGGCAGCATGTTTGGAGAAGGCAAACTGTATGTTGTACCTTCAAGTTCATCCTTTTTCATTCTTTTGGTTTGTTCTGTTCTTTTTGGTTCAAGAGCATACTACTAATGGAAGTCTTTATTTAATTTGTTATCAGCAAAGCGCTGGACAAATCCCTCAAAATTCGCATAAAGTTGGTGCCTCATCTGAAGACAATGCAGCAAGCAATCGATCGAGTGATTGTGCGACATCTTTGCAGAAAAATAAGGATTGCAGCAAGAAAGGGAGTGATGCCCAAGTGAGTATCAGGTCACTTTATTGTCAGTCTTGTAGGGCCATAAAGTCTGTGTCTCTGAATTCATTCTTGTGATCTGAGGTCTATCAATTTCCCAAATGCCTGCTTCTGAACGTGATGCAGACAGGGGAAGAAATAGTTGATCCAGTATTACCATGTAACCTGCCGAGAATCAATTGATTTTCCTCTTTGCTTCCCCAATTCTTTTTGGCTCATCAGTTGCACAATCCTTGTAAAGCAGTAAGCTATAGATATAGCATTATCCATCACAAGATTCATGTAGGCCACTTGTAGAGTGAGGAAAATTCCTCTTTCCATACTAGGCTGGCTTCATGAAGTATTACATAGAGTGCATGTTTTGCCACCTCCTTTGCAGAGTTCTTATACGACCCCTTGCTTGGAAGCTGAGAGTGCTCACATGCAAAACATGCAGGGACTTTCACAGCTGAAGCATAGGAGTGCTTCAAATCTGAGCAACTCAGATGGAGAGGAGTACGAAGAGTGTGCCAAATTAGATAAACGCCCTGCAACTCCTGAGAGCAAGACTGGAGGTAACGTCTCACGTTCCATTCTTATGTTTTATTAATCATTTATTACAACCACTTGAAAACCGTGCTTTCTTTGTTCAATAATACGCCAAGGGACGTCTGACACAGTAATTGTTGCAGAAAGGTCGAATGGGATGGGACCAGATGGAGAACTGTGCCATGGAGCCTATAATCCGGCTGCTTTGAGACTGCTACAGAAGCATGCTTGTGGTAAGTTAGAGATTCAAGAAGAAAACTCGAGACCAGAAAATGATAGGGGGCATGCTAATATCTCCTTTGGCCGTGATGATGTACTTGACGAATCCTCGAGTAGAGCCATTGATTTGATTGGTACCTTTAATAATGGTTCAGAGAGCACATATGTACACTCTAGTTTACATGATGGCACAAACAAGTTCGAATTCACTCCACAACTTGAACTCTCTCTCAGGAGATTGTATCCCGGCAGTTCAAAGAACCAGGGAGTAGATGAAAGACATGCACTGAACCATTCCAATGCCTCTGCCTTCTCACGGTAAGTATTTGTATCCGGTAGCCGATAACTTTACTACTAAGCTTGAAATACTGAAAATTAAATGGAACTTGGACCAGCATATTGTTTTCCATCTCAAACTTCAGTTTAAAATCACGGAAGCGAGTCTATCTTCCTTCAAGTTTCTCTTTTTTATGTTTCACTCTCTCTCTCTCTCTCTCTCTCTCTCTCGTTATATTATTACCCTAGCTATCACGTAGGCTTATCTTTCTTGTGCTTATTTGGTTTAAATTTTCTCCATTATAAAAAAATATTAGGAAGGGTTGTATTGATGAAGGAAGAAGCAGGAGTGCGGGGATAGTGGATGTGATGCTATATGTTGCTATGGTTTTCGCAGAGGTTCAATGTCGACATTAGATTATCATGGGGTGCTCCTCAACTGTCGAATCAAAGGATCACAATTATATAATTACATCCACTGCTTTAACTGATCTTTTAAGAACAAGAGCTGTGTTTTACTGTCTTTTCCTTTTTGAATGTGTTTTCTGCTCTAACCGATGGCCCCGTAGCTTCTTTGGTCTTCTTGCAAAGCAAGAGAGGTGAAGTCTTGAGTTCAATTCTCACCTTTGTCTCACAAAAAAAAAAAAAAAAAGAGAAGAAAAGAAAAGAAAAAAAAAAGGAGACGAGTGGTTTCCGTCCTCCGATTGCATAATTTTAATGCGTGGTTTATTAATTTAACGCTAAAAGATCACATGTTGGAATCCTACTCTGTTAACTCATAGGTCCTCTCTGCAGGTACAATAGTAAGACATTGCAACCGCTTTTTCCAACATCCAGTAATGGTTCTGATTTCATGGAAGAAGCCAGTAAGTCTCCTGAGCTGTCATCCAATCAACATGCTCAAAACATTAGTTCTATTTCTCAGAGACATGATGCAACTTTGAGTGGTAATCAAGAAGTTATGACAACTCCGGTTGTCCAATCTGGGAAGGCGGAATTAGCATATCCAAGCCCTCGACTTGGATTGATTCCTGTTCCGAGGATGAGGGTCGACAATAGCTCTACCGGATATGTTCATGCTTTCTCCTCTCTATATCACACGCAATCAAGTGCAACGTGGACTCCCAAACTTGTCGGGCGGCAACAGTCTCCATTTCCTACTAGTACCTCAGTTCATTCAAATCCTGAAATTCATGATTCCAATCAAAATCACAGGTGTCCTGATGAAACTACTTACAACTCTGTTGACCAAAATGATCATCAGCAGAACAATTTGGAACCTGTGGATGATCTGAGTCGTGATTCACCTGCTATTGGTCAGAGTACTAGTAGTAGTTTATGTAATGGTGCTGCCAATTATAATAATAGCAGTGCCTATGAAGGCTTTGGCAGTAGAAATGATGGAAATGCCTCATCTGTTGTGGCATCTGAGAAGGCCATGGCTCAAGAGAATTTAAATGATGGGGGCAGCTTCAAACATGATGGTTTTAGAGGTATAGATTCTCATCGCTCCGGCCAAAGAGAAGCTGCTCTAACAAAGTTCCGACTGAAGCGGAAAGATCGATGCTATGAGAAGAAGGTATATACTACTAATTGCATATGCAGATATTGCGCAGATGTGCTCGCGTGCATCTAAATTTGCATTGAGGTGACTCCATCAGCACCTTATTCTGAACCCGTGTCATATAGCTGTCATACCTTATCATTAACATCACTACAAACTGTCATCCTTTCGTCAACCCTTTCTATCTGATTTTCAAATGTCGCTATGAGTATTAAACTAGTTTAGGAATTTCAGTTTCAATTGAACTGTGGTGCGGATCCCGTGGAGACACGAAAACTTAGCATTCAGATGCTAAGAATGATATGTTATTGCCTGTGGTGAGGATAGCAGAATCACATACCAAGACACGTACGATATTTTCTGCAATTCTTAAACATGGAGTTTCTTTCACCTGCAGGTTCGATACCAAAGCCGGAAAAGACTGGCAGAGCAACGTCCTCGGGTGAAAGGACAATTTGTTCGTCAAGTGCAAAATGATTCCCCAATTGCTAATGGTTGACCATGAAATTCATCACCACACACCTGTTTGTTGCTATCGAGTGCCTTGACCTTTTGGAAAGGATGGCATGTCAGTGGTGAGATGCGAATGTGTTTGTTTGCTTCTTTACCTTTGGGTCTACTGAAATGACAGTATGGCTATAACTGTAATTGTTGGGTCTACTAAAAAAGTAGGCTTGTAATTATGGGGTGAGGCTGTCTGAATCATCTTCTACTCTGGTTTTTTTTTTTTTTTTTTGGCTTGCTCGGTAGATGACTGACTCATAGCAGTTAGGATGCTTTAATAGCATGATAATTTACATTTATAGTTTGGAGATGGGGTTGTTCCTTCAGTTAGCTGCATAGTTGTCAGGCCCGGCCTAGGCCCTGGGTCTCCGGGTCATTGGTTGATCCTTGTAGTTGGAAGTTGATCCGACGGGTTATCTTTTTAGATAAATGTATTGTTTCTACGTTGTTATGGCATGTAGCTCTTGTGGTTTGTTGACGAGTTGGGTTTCTTTGTTCCTACAGTAATGGGGTTCGAAACACGGGATGGGGTCATATTTCCTCTTTTGTTTGAAAAACTGGACCGGTCAAGACATGCAGTGCCTTTTTTTTTTTTCAGTCCGGAAAAATTGAGCTGCGCCATCACAAACAATTGATAGTTAAACCTTGTAAAAAGGTTGGTGTCTCGTTATCGTCATTCTCGCCGTTAGGGTTGAGAAATTATTCGACTGCCAATATACGAATTTTCAGCTGTCGACCATGAACAACGAAGGGCAGATCTTTGGTGATTGGTTGTTCAAAACATGCCATTTGTTTTTTTTTTTTTTTTTTTGGGCCGAAGGTTACTCCACTCTTTTTTAAAAAATCATCTTAAATCTCAATATTTCAACAACCTTTGCAAGTTTTTTCATCTCTTTCCTCATTTTTTAAAAGATCTATGGACTATAAAAGTTCATAATAGATGATTTCAAATCCCGGATGTCTATATTTTAGCAGCCACTATTATTCCCGATGGCTTTGACGGTTTTTTGTTTTAATTTGAAACTCAGTCGGGTCAGGACTGGGTTTGCCTGGGCATCTGAGTGGTATGGGTTTTGACCGGACCAGCGTATTAGACAGTCCAGGCAGACCCAACCTGGCTTAGGCTTCGGGTCAGCCTGTCATGGTGAGTTGGATTTGACAACTATTAACAAAATATTTTAAAATAAATGGGTTGGGTTTTTTTTTTTTTTCATCGTTTAATCACGTTTATTTTACTATTCATCCCTATTCATAAATACTATTTATTTAACATTATTGTATTCAATAATATTATTGTAATTTTTGACATTTCTCTAAATATTTGAAATGATATTTTTTTATTTTTAGTTTTTTGCATAGACATATGATAGATAAGTTTTGATAAATATTGCATGTTGATCTTTAATTTTTAAAACTATTTGTTTTGATTTTCAACAACACTTATATTGCGATTTGATCCTTCAATATGGAAACAAACGAATAGAGGAGGAAAGAAAAAACCCACGGTGAGTCACCTTTCGATCACTTAGATCGTCGATATTGGGTTCAATTTGTTCGTATTAGATCGAAGAGTTTTTTTATGACAGTCTCAACAGATGAAAAGTTGTTCGACCCGTCGTCTCCTGCGCGTTGCTCAGATAATGCATTGTCTGTTATTTCATATTTTTTGAAAAGGACTAGCTCACACATGTCCAGCTCCTGCATGCGGAGGCTTGGTTCTTCAAACCCTAGGGTGCAACTGCAAGCCTAGCACACGCAGGCCTTTTTTTTTTTTTTTTTGTCATTTTTTATTATTTTATTTTTGTGCTTAAATTTTGGAAAAACTCATATTTACTTTTTGAGTTTTCCACAACATAGCGAGTAAGAAATAATAAGAATGTATTTTTCATATTTTAGACTTGAGATATATTTAAAAATATTACTCGTATTTGTTGAAATTTATTCCTTCATTTCGTCATTTTTTATATAAATTATCATCCAATTAACTTTTTTTTTCTTTTTCATTTACAAATATGATTTATTTTTCTATGTGCCTAGATTTTGGAATGAATTTTTAGGAATGTGATTACTTTTTTTAATTAAAAAAATTAATAAATATGGCTTACTTAATGGATTCTTATAAATTTTAAATGAGACTATCATGATTTTAAATATAAACCTTTGATCTAAAGGCTAAAGGCTAAAGTGCATAGCTGAAATTTTTTCTCAAGTTTTTTGAAAAAATAAATTGATAATTAAAAATAAGAGGTGAAAAAAAAGGATGTGATTTTTATAAGTACAAAAACATGTATAATTTAGAAACAAAAATATCTTTTAAGAAGAAAAAAATAAAATCAACGTGTTTTATTTACTTTTTTATATATATAATTAAAATTTATTAAAACTAATTTTATAGGGATTACATATGCACACAAAACATAAAAAATTCACTATTTTTCTAAAAAAGAGAGAGGATAATTTGATATCAATTTTCCTCAAATAAAATAATTAAAATTATGTTTGAAAAAACCACACGATGGTACCATACTTTTTAAATAGAATTTTATATGCTATTATTATTGATTATTTTAAAAATAAATAAATAAAAAAACTTGATCTAAGTATTTTCAAAAAATAATCTTTTTATTGATATTCAATAAGGATAAAAGTTTATTTAAAATTTTTTAATTTTGATACAATATCTTTTAAATTGATTGTTGTTTTATTTTTTATGCAATATTTTGAATATATATATTAAATTTTTACCTTTTTTTATTTTTGATTATTTGAAACTTGCTCTTTAAATTATTATAAATTTTTATTTAAGAATTTATATACAAAAGAAAATAAATCATTTTTTAAGAAGGAAATCTATTGAAAAGAAAATAAGAAAAAGTTAATTAAATAAAAAATTTAATTAAACTTTCATAAAATTAGGTGAAAAAATTATCTTTGATATATATATATTATCCTCGACATGACAAGAATTATCGAATTAGAATAATTTTTCAATTGATTTTACTTATCTATCTGGTCCCAGCGTAATGCGGGCAATAAGCTAGTGGTTCATTAGACCAGCACTGTATTATATGATTGTTGAGCAGCTTCCACATTTTGTCTAGTCTGCCTAAAATTTGATGTACTCAATCTTGTTTTCAGTTGCTCTTCCTTAAATATCTTTGAATTCCTGGTAGATTCTGTTGATAAACTTCTGTTGATCAACGAACTAAGAGAAGTGGCTGCAATGGGAATTCTTTATGTTTCATTTGGTTCAGTAACCTTGTCATTTCGATTTTATCTGATCTAGACACTCGTTCGCTCTCATGGTTATTTTGACTGCTCTGTCATAAACAACAGTGTAATTTACTAAACAGGCCTTTAAGACGAGGCTACTGAGAAAGCAGTACTGTCGGGCTAAGAAAAGCATGTTGTGTGCTCTTATGTCTTTTCCCAAAAATATTTGACATCATTGTGCCTGTGTTACAGTTAAGCAAATTAAAAATTTCCTGAAAAAGGCATCATTAGTATGTAGATGGTATTTGGGAAGAAAGCAAATAGACATTTCACTGCAAAAAACAAAAAAAAGTAATTAACGAAGGAATTTAGCGATGGATTTATTTCTATCACCATTTACCTCTTTAATAGCGATCAAACGGTGATGAAATCAAAAATAAATCATTTAACGATGAATCAACGATATTTTTAAGGCAAAAAATTAACGACGGAATATTTTTCGTAGCTATCAAGCGTTATATGACAGACTAATGAGAGACTTTTGCGACGAAAAACAAATTCCGTCGCTACATGCAACATTGGCCCAAACGACAAAGATTATTTGTTGCTATCTCGTCGATGATTACCGACGAACACTATTATGTCGATAATTGCTTAAATTTGAAAAAATTTGTAAACAAAAACAACGATTATAGAAAATTCAAAGTAGCGACGGATAAGACTCGTTCGTCACTAATTAACAACGGAATAGCAACGTAAAAATTTTCATCACAAGTTTAGGCAAACTTGTCAACCCTTCTAGACAATTTGAATGGACGTTTGAAATTCAAATTAGCGATGAATATCGACTTTTGTCACTACTTAGCATTGAAAATGCATCCGTTGCTAATCCTAAACCCTTTTAACTTCTAGACTCTTTCTCTTCCCCCTTTCCCTCTCCTCCATTACCGCCGCCACCTCCACCGACCCCTAACCATTGCCCAATGCCATCCTACTCCCTCCCCGACCCACTCGGCTCAACAAGGCGTAAATTTCTCCCTAAAAGCCGTTGCCGCTCTCTCTCTTCTTCCTCTCTCCTTTGGTAATTTGTTCTCTCTCTAGATCTTTTATTTTTATTTTTTTTAAATTAGATCAACATGGTTAGTTAATTCTTGTTAATTAATTATTAATTTGTTAATTTTTTTATTGTTTTTGCTAATTGTTAGGTTAATATTAATTGTTAATTTGTGTGTTGTTATTTTACAATATAATTAATATTTCAATTAGGAATAATATTGTACTTAATTAGGATGAATATAATTAAGTTAATTTGATTTAGGATTAATTTAATTATGATTATTTTTTTTATCAATTGTAAATTTGTTTGTTGTAATTTAAATAATTTTATTACGTTTAGTTGAATTTATTATTAAATTAATTAAATGAATTTTGATTATAATACTCGTAATTTGTTAATTAATATTGATATTTAAAATTTAATAAATGTTTGAATTAGAAATAATTTTATTATTTTTAGTTGAATTTATTATTAAATTAATTAGATAAATGTTGATTATAATATTATAATTTGTTAATTAATATCGATATTTAAAATTTAGTAAATGTTTGAATTAGAAATAATTTTATTACGTTTTATTGAATTTAATATTAAATTAATTAGATAAATTTTGATTATAATATTGTAATTTTTTAATTAATATCAATATTTAAAATATAGTAAATGTTTGAATTAGAAATAATTTTATTGCGTTTAGTTGGATTTATTATTAAATTAATTAGATA